ACTTTTGTCGTGCATTATTTACACGATATTGCTGTGACTTCCTCGGTTGGGTATCATCTTCCACCTGTGGTGATTCTGTACACGACTTTTTGCCTTTAACTGTGGTAAGTTGACATTTTATTTCTATTGTATCTTTTTTTTTTTGCCTTTTATTTACAGTTGTTTTACATTGTATTTTGGAATCTCACCTTGTGGCCAGGTATCCTGAATAATTTTATCCTATCAGTAACTCTGCATAATTTCTAACACCCACTGTATAGATAGGGTGTTTCTGTAAGATCTTCAGATGCTTTTCGAGTAGTATTTCTATATCTGTATATTTTATTTTATCACTATCTCTTGAGGACTATCACTCATGCAGTACACGAGTAAAGCAGGTAGGAAGTTTTGCCCATCCCTACTAATTTGAGATTCATACAATCTGGGTCCTTCTGCTTTTCAAAATAGGGAAACACAGATGCCCATTGCACTGACTGTGGTGTGTCATTCCTCCAGATTCCCCAACGTGTATTCCCCCTTCTCCCTTTTTCTTCTAGTGGAGCAAGGGGGTCCTTTCCACTTCTGGTTCCTACTTGCTCGGGTGGTGTACCATGGAGGTTTCCTCTTGAATGGGGTTTGTACGGTAACTCAATCGTATAGCCATATTTACTCGCTTGATTCTACAGTAAAAGTTCTGCTATTCACTATCTTATGCAAGGTGCCACAGGGCAAAAAACATCCAGAGAAGGCACCTTGGATTTATATCAAGATAGCCAAGTGAGGTCCACCCAGGCAAAAACATCCAGGGGAAGCACCTTGGTATACATCGGATTATGTCAAGTGCGGTCCATCTGAGTAGAAAACATCCAGTGGAAGTTCCTGTTTTACTTGCGGCACACCTGCTTTTCTTTTTTTTCATGTCAGTCATTTTCCACTTGTTTACTTGTGTTTTGAGCTATCACCAGCCCCTCCACCTTTCCAATGTGGGATTTTAGCTATGGGTGAGAGGAAGTAGTACCATTTCGGTAGTTAACATTTTCCAACACTGAAAATGTATTTCAGATAGGTACTTACCTCCGCTCATCCACTTCCCATCCTTCCTTCCCACTGATTTGCCAGTGTTTCAGGTTTGTATATTCCAATTCTTGAAAGTGAGGATTGTGCTGCAATGGCAGAGGGAGCTACCTGTGCTAGTATAGGGGTGCAATGGGATTGGTGGAGGGTGGTCACATGATCAGCACTTGTTGCTGCAATGATGCAAAAAGATATAGGGGTATAAAAGATTGGTGCTCTGTTAAAAAATTTAGCATAACTATGGATGATAACCTGTCAGAAATACACTTTCAGTGTTAGAAAATGTTAACTTTTATATTGATTAAACTGCAGTATTTTCTCTTTTATGAGTAAGTTTGATATTCATGTGTGCTTGATATTTTATGGTTATTAACATGTTAATCTGTTTGGAAATATGGGTCCAACATTTATTAACTTTACAGATTTTTTCTATTTTGTCAATTTTCTTTTTGGGATCCCCACCAAGCTATTTACCCTCTCTACAACATTTTTAACTCCAACATGTGATAAACAAGTTATTGTCTTAGTTTCACTATGAGCTTCACCACATATAAACCTATTGGTATACATAAATAAGTGAATCCCTCACTACAAGATCCTTGCAGGTGTCTCGTTCCTCATAACTAAATCAAAGCTAGGTAAATTAATCAGTCATTACAAGACCTTGGAAGTGTTTTCTTCCCACACTCTTCAATAGCCAAAGACAGATCTGATGGAATTGAACATATTGTTTCTTTAAAAGGCTTTTGGAACAACAATAAAAAAGTAATATGCTACTCTGCCACTGACAACCCTATCTCCAACGTCAACAGTGATAACTGGTCGCATAGTAGGCATGTTAAAAATTGCTACAACATTTGAAAAAATTACTTTACAGAAGTTATCCCAACTGTGGCTACTCTTCAACACTTTCTGTCAAAGATAAACATGAAAGTATCATTGAGAAAAGGGCTTGAAACTTGATTATTAAGACAATAAGCAGGGGTGTAGCATCAATGTTGTACCACTTGTTTTAAAAACTGTGCCCAAGATTGTTCCAATGCTTGAATTCTATGTTAGCATATTTCTACTCTCTCAATTGGACCATTGCCAATTACAAAATTTCACTTTATGTTACTACTATTAATGAGTGTGTTTTAAAAAGTATTATTGGCTTAAATAATAGTGTATATACAATTTTAACCAATGGGGAATCTAAACATTTTCGTTGTAAGTTAGTGACTCGGTAAACAGTGGGTACGAGGTAGGAAGAAATTTAGTTGTTTAATTCATTTGATTTTTTGTTAGAAATAGAAGTTTTATCAAATTCTACATCATGCCAGTGCATTGGAATTTTGTCACATGTACATTCTGTTTACTGGCAATTCATATATATATATTATATTATATGAGATGTAGAAGTTAAACAAATTTTTCATGACATTTTTCAGGATGAGCTGAAGTTTGTTTGTTTTTCATATTTTTAGAGAAGGTTTGATCTTTTATCTTTCTGGTTCTGGCCATTAGTGTTGTCTCGATTTGATTTATAAACACTCTGAAGTAAAAATATTAATTTTGTTCAAACATGTTTTAAGTCAAGGAGATTTAATTTTGGAGTACCTTAAAACCCTCCAGATTTCAGGCACCCAAGTGGTCCCTGGATTCCCCAGTTCATTTTCCCATCATAGGTGCTGCTAACTTTCTAGTGCATCTTTGTCTTATGGAATCACTCTATACCCTTGATACAAAGTAATCCAAATTCTATCTAATATATATTGTTGGATCCTTGTTTTAAAATAGCATTTTTTGAAGAGCAACAGAACCAGCAGTGAAATAATTTGATGGCTAAAGAGCCCTGACACTGCTAGTGTGGTTGAAGATAAAGATAATAGAAATAATGTACGTCAACTGTAGACCAGTCTCAGTCCATGGGATTCACTGAAAACAAGCAAACAGAAATATTGTTACGTATCTGGTTGTTTGTTAATTTCCCGTAGAAATTCTTTCTGAGAAACTTCAGCAATACAAGTCCTTTCTTAATTAAAACTAGTTTATTCTTTCTCAATACAACTTTGTAATACACTTAATTCCCATTGTCACTTTAAACTTAACAACCTTTATAACACACTCTATAAATCACAGTGATTCACACACTTTACTTACGGTGCCTACTGTTCGCTTGACTCAACTGTCTCTATCTTCAATCTATCTGCCTCACTGGTTTTTATCGCCAGGCTTATATATTAAAAAAGAGGGTAGCTCTATCAGACTAAAGTTGCCAGACAAATTCATGAGCCTTCGAGAAACTCCAGCGCACATGCTCCCAGCGTCACATGACTTCCGCTGTTGTAACAATATGTAGATAGTAATGGTTTTTCTTTATACTTGTGTTTTAGTAGTTCACTACAGTTTAGGGAGGCAGTGAGCCAGTTCCTAGTATCAAAAAGGTTAAGAAACATTGATGTAGATGACTCCTTAACATTACCATCACCAGTTTTTAAACCTTTATTTCATCGCAAGAACCACATGGTTCATACTGAAGCAGGACCCTGTGGTACTGATGACACTGGTTATAAAACACATCATTAAAAGGAATTTTTTAAAACATAGTAATAACAAATGATTAAAGAATGAACAAAAAACTACTAGTTTCTTTCACTCCATTCTTTGAGAATGACCAGTTTTAAAAGGCCAAAGTGTTTTTCTGAACCTACTAGTTTCTTTCACTCCATTCTTTGAGAATGACCTATATATATATATAATTCTGATTTTTAACTAGGCCTACTCTAGTAACATAAGCACACAGTTTTGTCTGTCTCAAGTAATATGTCAGAAAAACTGACCATGTCACAAGAATTTAAGTCTCCAGTACTACACAAACTTTGTTAAATTCTGTGTACTCCAGCTCACAAAGGATTATACACATTTGTTTAAATACGTAGCATATTATTTATCAAAATATTTCAAATATTATACACTTACAAAATTTTTAGAAGATTCTTAACTGATCTTGCAAAGTAAAGTACATCAAACAATGACATTCTATTACACAAGAAATAATATACTTTTCACTTCCACAAATCTTCATTTCATTAGTTTTTCTACCTTTCAGTTAATTGATACTTTACTTTCAGTCCTAACTATGGAAAGCAGAATGTTAATATAAATTTTTCTTCATTGTATGCTTATGGAGTTACAATGTGAAAAGCATCTCCCAAGGTTTTATAATGCAACAATTCCAATCCTCCCACTGCTGGGCAATCAGAAATAAGAGATTCACTCATTTAGCTTTGTCTGTTGAATCTTTGTGCTAACTGAGATATTATTTGAATTGTGTCTGTGCTGTTTCCTCTACAATAACAGACTAGACTGGTGTTTTGAATGGGATAAATAGAAATAATTTCACTGATGTCACAATATTTCTTTCTAAAAAAATACTTTGGGCAAATTCATAAAAAACAATAATAACACAGTATACACAAGTGACTAAAGAGTTAACAAAAAACAACCTGAACCAGTTTTAACATGCCAAAGTAATGGTTTTGGATTTCAGTTTTTCTGAGGCATCAAAGCCAACTAGACTGTGTATGTATAACAAAGCCTACTTTAGTACTGTATATATATAATCGTGATTTTAACGAGGCCTACTGTAGTACTGTGTGTGTGTGTGTGTGTATATGTATATATAATCATGATTTTAACTGGGCCTACTGTAATACTGTATGTGTGTGGTTTTGTAAAGCTTTGAAACTATTGTATGTGTGAATGCATAAAATTGGAACTATATATTTAGTTGCACAAAAGGTAATAAGTTTTATTTTTTAACAGTTATAAATCATAATGAAAAATTAAAACTTTCTGTTTAAGAAAAGAATGAACCGAGTGTATGAATTTCTGAAAAAAGTGACTTAATATTTTTATGACCGTAGAAATAATCTTGGTATAAAATAATAATAAAATGTGAATAGCTTAGTATTACAAGGAAAAATAAAAATTGTCCTTCTTCGCAATCACAGCTGATAGAAGACGACTTTCTGCTGGAAGAACTACAAGGACGAGAACTACACCCGGACTACACAAGCCCCGATATTCATGTCATAAGGCTTAGAAAGAAATGATCTTCTTAGTAATCTGCTTTGGATTTTGAAGTAAATAGCTTCTTTTATGTATCTGCACTTATTGGCGCAGTGCCACAAACTAGTGTATATGTGTACAGTCCCTTACTCGGTATATGAAAAATAAAATATTGGTATTTCTACTGTATCATCTGTTGTGTGACCGTGTTTGTGCTTTTATGCGACTTGAAACTGAAAAAATTGATTATTTTCACAAAGGATCAACTATGAATAATTTAGAAAGATCTAATGATAGAATACTTGTACCTTTAACATGCTACTGGTTGTATTTAAAACTAAAAGAACATTCATTAGAAAAGGCCTGTGGAATATTTTTCACACATATAGCTCTGGAATTAAGTAAGAATGCAGTTGCTTGATGAGATTACGAGTTTTAAAACACTTTGTCAAAAAATTACCGTAAAACGTTTTAGCATTGGTTTTTATCTAAAAAATTTTTTGGCACCCAACATTTGTGACATTAAGAAATCGTATAGGCAGCATAAAAAAGATGAGTGACAATAACATAAGCAACTTCTAAATGCATAAGTTCATTTCTCAGGGGTGAATAGAAATAGGAAGTGAAAAGTATGTGGGTTATTGATCTTCATTGACAACTTTGGTGGTCTGCCCTGACAACACGGAAGTATTTAGTTTGACCTTGAATAGGAATGTTGCATGTGTATCAGTAACTTCGGGGGTGACGGGAATGAGGAATTAAAAGGATAAACTCTGTAAGTAGTAAATGGTTGAATGAATTAGAAAATTGATTGAAAAAAAGAAAATTTTCTAAAGTAGTCTGGGCACTAAAATTGGTTAAAAATAACAAAAGCTGGGAATTAAAATTAGAAAACACAGTTAATTAGAGATAATAAAAAAATCTCTCTCTCTCACGTGGAAATAAGCATATGGGTAAAAAAAGGCTAATTTTTGTGAGAGTGAATAAAGGTAAAAAAAATCATTAATTCTGTAATCTAATCAGATTAAGTACCATTCAAAGTAACAATTGAAATTGCCTCTTTAAGCAATTTTGGTAAGTAAGGGAACCATGTCTGTGATAGAATGGTGAAGCTAGTTGAAATGTTGGGTAACAATAAGGTCTTTGTATATGTGTATTTTGTGAGAGCTTGATTAGTTCTATAATGCTATGTGGAAATATTCATCACTGTGGTGACTACATCAGAAATGGCTGTCACACTTTACAATATTTCCATTCAAAACAACCTAAATATTTCCACGTTATCAGGGTGGGCTACCACAGATATACACGACATCACTTAAGGTTGCTTCACTAACTTTCATCTTTTACAATTCGTAATCATTTCCAGTTCACTCGGAAGAAGAGAGATTTACTGTCCAGAGTGTCTGGGTTTCTTGCATCATAATCTCCCCACACTTTTTCTTACAATAAAAAAAAAAATTAACCAATTGAAAGTCCAATGTACAACTTTTGGTGGTGTTTATTTCAGGATAAATTTTTTTTACCGAGTAATAGAAATGATAGATCATTACCTTTTACAAAGTAAAACAATCAATGATTCTTTTAAAATTGATTAATTCACAACTGTATTTCTGCTGTCTATTCTTGTCAATATTCAACTTACAGAACTATTATAAAATGCCATGAAAATACACGTCTACACCTTATAATCAGAACAAAAAAAACTTACAAAAAAACTATATTTATAGAAAATATTTTCACTGTTAATATAATTTTTCTGACAACTAGCAAATGTGTACGTATTTAATAAATGCACATTGTTAATTACAAAGCAGAGAGAACATAATACAACTTTTGAATGGTTGTTTAATGAATACTAAGTGTAGCAAGAAGTGTGTTTTTACTCTACAATGTGTTCCACATCATGCTCTGCCTGAATGTCTTCTTTTTCAATATACTTCTAAGAGTAGCTTATTACATATATTTTAAAGATCAGAAACTCAGTATGGAAGTTTTTGAATTTACATCTCTCTACTGTGAAGGTTGTGACATTAAAACCCCTTTTTTTTAGGCTAACACAGTATTTGTAATTGTTTAAATGGTAAAAAGCCCAAGAACAATGTCTTAACCAAACATAGCCATCACTGACCATGTCCTGCATTGTTAATGAAAACCAAGAACATATATTCAGAACACAGTGGTCTTGTGACCTCAACATCACACAGTATTCTGCATATTAATTAGTTCTTTTTGAATGTCCTTTTCTCTTTCAACCTTATGTTCATAATCTTATACTAACTCTAAACATTTTATCAAGTTCTTAGTTTTCATCTGTTATCACCTCATACTGCAAGTTTCTTAATGTGTTCTTTGTGCTAAGTCTTTCATTTCTACTTTCTCAATATCTTGATTTTTATCTTCCAGCACCACCTACAAGCAACTTTCTAAACTAAATCATCATATCATACTTTCCAATTCCATATCAAGTTCTTTTTCATTTTTAGGTCCAACCATTTTTCGTTAATGGTTCTTCACTGCAAAGTTGAAAAATATTTTTCAATCTCTGTATGACTTTTCAGACCCTTGGCCAGAAAAAAAAAATTAATCTATCCCTCAACAATCAGTATATAGTGAGATTTTTTTCTTCATATCATGATCATGCATTTTTAGTGAAAGAAGTGTGAGGCCCACTTTGTTGTGTTACTAAATAATTATGTAATTACTTTTGTTTTACTGATTCCATAATTGGGATGAGAATTTTCAGTCACTAAAAACTTTGTATCTGACATAAATAAATGTACCAAATGCATTTCTTTTAAATAGACCTCTAATGTTTAATTTAGATTAAGAAAGTATAAGTACTTGAAGAAAATTAAACTTCACTGCCTAAACTTAGTTAAACAAACATAATTTTTTTTGTAATAGCCAAAAGTGAGAATTCAGTAAGTTACTGTACTAGGAGTGTATAATTATATTTAATAAGCATATAGTTTTTTCTTCAAGAAGTCATGGATTTTCTGCCATTCCCAAGAGAATCCAGTTACAAGTTTGATACCTAGCATTACGCATCTAACAGAGACACTACACAAACAAGCATACTGTGTAACTAGAAACATTAAACGGTATATTTATGACAAAAGCAAGTCACGTAAGAATCATGGCTGATATAAAGTCACAATTAAATAAAATGTATCAGACCTTAATTGCTTTGGGGATAAGGTATGTACACTCAGTTCATAAATGTGTTCAGATTTGGCATTTATATTTTCCAAGATGGAAATATCCTCTGTACTTAATGTCATTGGAAAACAATGGAAAATGGATCAACTTGGGGCCCCAGGACCATTCAGAAAGAGACCTGGAACAAGTCATACACCCCAGCCATGGTAAACAGTGTGGTGTCTTGTAACAGGTGGGAATCCAAAAACAAAGATTAGAGGCTTAAATTATCCATACACAACCCAGGCATAGGGATGCAATAATCAAGAAGGATCTCCATCCAGAAATGATGCCAATGGGGTAGGTGTTCACCAAGATAAAGCATCCAGTCATGCCTCCCATTAAACTGTTGCACACCTTAAGCAAGTGGATATTCATGCTATCCCATATGTATATGGACAGGCCAGATACATTGCCCATGAATTTCTGTGGAAATGGAGAGATAAGACATGACTGGACTGTTTGTTCATTCTGAATGTTTACATTGTAAAATAATGAATATTACTCCAATAAAAAAGAAAGTTACTCCAAAAATGTTTTACACCAACATCTGGCTATAAAAGTATCATCTATTTTGTGTACTATATACAAGTTTACACACTTGTAGGTATACTGTGGATCCATACTAATAGTGTTTCTAATATTTTCTTCTAGTATTCCTACAGTTGGTCTTCTGGCACACATTGTAAAGCTAATTACTCTCTTGTTGACTATTGGACACCACAGTATTACTACCAATTCTCAGAAGTTATAATGACGACATAAGACCGATAGTCAGTTACCAAGTTCAGGGAATTACATATATAATTCTCCGGTACATCAACTTTTATTCTGTTTGACAGAGAATAATTTTGCATTTCGTGCAAAGTAATACAGAAACTTGGGAAGCATTTGAAATGACAACCTATCTTCATAAAAATGAAATACACACACTAACCTAGAAAAATCAAAATAATATGGTAATAAATCACGCTACATGGAAACAACTTTGGTTAGCATTACTTTTTCTAATGTGTGGGAATTCAAATCTATTAATACACGTATACTTTCAAGGAGATTTTTTTTTATTTCTTCAATGTTTAATCAACTCACTTTTTTAACCGAGTCCACCAGACTTTGTTGTAATGTTTTCTATGCTGTAGATATACACATTTCCCGAGGTAAAGAGTTTAATATTTCCAATCATTTTGATAGGTGTTATTCACTTTAGTTTCCTAAACCGTATCAAATGAATACCACTTTATCTTTTTTTTTTATGTACTGTAGTATTGCAATGTAGCTTGAACAAAATACATAAATAATGTTTCATACTTAAACTATCTTGTGACACAACCAGTAGGAGACAAACAAAAAAAATTAAAACATTTGGTTTTCTTTTACAGTTTAATTACAGCAAACTTATGAAAGTACAATTTGGAAGGAAGCTTTGAATTATATTATATCCAAGAAAGAAATATACCAAACTTACTTGTACATTTACATTACCAAAATGATACAACAATCCTACTGAAACACTGAAGTAAAAGTTTCAATGACATACGGTAGCATTTAACCTACCAACTATGGTTACAATGGCTGTATTTAAATTATGATTACAGCAGGTAAAATTACATTCTCGTATATATACTCACAAAGATTATATTTGCATTCCAAGCTATGGGTACAACAATACATATGACAAAAGCCAGATTTTTGTATCAATTCATACCACATCAAGTACATGAAAATCAAAATTTTGTTACCACTACCAATTTGTCAAATTTTTTGGAATTATAATAATGCTATTAAGATATGACAAACGTATGGGATACAATAGTTGTTTCACTGAACAACGGATTAAACTAGAGAAAGAACAAGACATTCAAACTAATAACTAGAACCCTCAGCCTCTACTACCATACTTCAATGTAAAGATCAAAGCTCCCTCTACAGAGAGATTGAAGAAATTAATAAAATAAGAGCAAGAAACAGTTTTCCTATCATCACTTTTATCACATAAAAAAAATGGCAAAAATTTAAATTCTTGAAAAAAATTTTCAAAATCTACTCCGAGATACTGTTTTACCATAACAAAGACATCTTACATAGTAATAGTTATAACATTAAAATTACCATACAGGAACCACATGCCAGCAACTTAATTGTTCTCTATGCTTTACATCATTCAAGGTTACTAGTAATACAAATTTCTAACTGACTGTCGAACTACATATTTTCTTAATTATTGATGCAAAAACTGTACAGAGCCTTCAAAACACTACAAAAACAATGACACGTGTGGTCTTTTAACTGAAGTCTCGATTTGGAAAGAGCATGGGTGCAATGAGGCTCCAAGCGTACAATAAGATACATAGCCAGCAAGAGATGATTTTCACCCACATGGAGGCTTCATTTTCCATCAGATTCTCACTGGTCGTGTCAGGACTAGGAGAACATAAAAGGTTATCATTACCTTACAATAAAATATAAAACCTTCTGGTACATATTCACTGTACTCAAAATAAACTAAACTATGTTGTGAACTCGTAAGAGAATACATTTTTTTTCCTCTTTAAGATTATCTAGTTATTTCATAACTACGTAACCAAACAGAGTTTTAGAAGATACACCAATGATTTAAAACATATTTTTACTTGATGTATGTCAAAAAATATTAGTTGGAATTTTGCCTCCTACCTTAAAATCATTCAGTAAATTGTAATAATTTGTTATAATCAGTTCTATTAAAAGTTTGAACATAATGAAATTATTTTATACTGAGTAGTTTTCTGGGCAGATTAGATTTAATGATACCAATTTGTAATGATCAGTTCAAACAGGCTGAACTCAGTGATACTGGTTAGAACATGATAAACTTCATGATACTAGTCTGTAATGATCAGTCTAGTGGATATGAACTTCATGATACCAGTCTGTAATGATCAGTTTTGTGAATATAAACCTCACTATACCAGTCTGTAATGATCAGTCTAGTGGATATAAACTTCATGATACCAGTCTGTAATGATCAGTCTAGTGGATATGAACTTCATGATACCAGTCTGTAATGATCAGTTTTGTGGATATGAACTCACTATACCAGTCTGTAATGATCAGTCTAGTGGATATGAGCTTCGTGATACCAGTCTGTAATGATCAGTCTTGTGGATATGAACTTCGTGATACCAGTCTGTAATGATCAGTCTTGTGGATATGAACTTCGTGATACCAGTCTGTAATGATCAGTCTTGTGGATATGAACTTCGTGATACCAGTCTGTAATGATCAGTCTTGTGGATATGAACTTCATGATACCAGTCTGTAATGATCAGTCTTGTGGATACGAACTTCGTGATATCAGTCTGTAATGATCAGTCTTGTGGATATGAACTTCATGATACCAGTCTGTAATGATCAGTTTTGTGGATATAAACTTCGTGATACCAGTCTGTAATGATCAGTCTTGTGGATATGAACTTCATGATACCAGTCTGTAATGATCGGTTTTGTGGATATAAACTTCACGATACCAGTCTGTAATGATCAGTCTTGTGGATATGAACTTCGTGATACCAGTCTGTAATGATCAGTCTTGTGGATATGAACTTCATGATACCAGTCTGTAATGATCAGTCTAGTGGATATAAACTTCACGATACCAGTCTGTAATGATCAGTCTAGTGGATATAAACTTCATGATACCAGTCTGTAATGATCAGTTTTGTGGATACGAATTTCATGATACCAGTCTGTAATGATCAGTTTTGTGGATATAAACTTCACGATACCAGTCTGTAATGATCAGTTTTGTGGATACAAATTTCATGATACCAGTCTGTAATGATCAGTTTTGTCGATATAAACTTCACGATACCAGTCTGTAATGATCAGTTTTGTGGATATAAACTTCACGATACCAGTCTGTAATGATCGGTTTTGTGGATATAAACTTCATGATACCAGTCTGTAATGATCGGTTTTGTGGATATAAACTTCATGATAGCAGTCTGTAATGATCAGTTTTGTGGATACGAATTTCATAATACCAGTCTGTAATGATCAGTTTTGTGGATATAAACTTCACGATAACAGTTTGTAATGATCAGTTTTGTGGATATAAACTTCACAATACCAGTCTGTAATGATCAGTTTTGTGGATATAAACTTCACGATACCAGTCTGTAATGATCAGTTTTGTGGATATAAACTTCACGGTACCAGTCTGTAATGATCAGTTTTGTGGATACAAACTTCACGATACCAGTCTGTAATGATCAGTTTTGTGGATATAAACTTCACGATACCAGTCTGTAATGATCAATTCAGCGGACAAGTTGAATTCAATGCTTGCAGTTTAAGCTCTAAATGACTAGCAAGTTTAACTTACCGATACCAATTTGTGAGAGTCATCATTACATACAGAGAAGCGAGAGCAAACATCAAATGAAAGAAAGACCAGCTGTACGATACACAGTCTTCTTCATTGTCCCAAACTTTATCATTGTCACTGCCTCCAGACTCCACTACATACAATATAAGCATCGTATATACTTCGTAAGGTAAAACACTTTAAAAATGACTTACAAATAAGCTACAATTTCTTCTTTACTTCATGGTTACAATGGCTATCAGTGAAATACTTGTACACAGAAAGCTAAATGTACTTTGACATTTATACTTTTTATCCTGTCCCTAAATGGCTCATAATTGCTGGTATACTCATTATACAACCACAAAGATTTTTCTGGCCACTATTTAAATAATGGAACTTTTTATTTACAGTTAAAAACATAATTTTGCTGTAGAGTATAGAGTGGTTAAAAATCACCTCCTCCCAAAATTAGGATAAATTAATATTACAGAACAGTTCATCGAAAGATCATTACCAGAAAGTTAAGAACAATTGACTTGTTAAATAAGATTACAAGGTGTTTTAGACAGACAACACTTTACATATATTCTAAATTCTAAAAGTTATTCATATTTTCACAGCTTTATCATCAACAGTGCTAGGATGATGATGGTAAGAAGGTTCAAAACTGTAGTTCTCAGCTGATTGTGGTATTGGTTACATACCTATTGTACATTTATATGTTTATGTTTCATGTACGGAGTAATGGGTGAAGGAAGTGGACTTGGAACATCCGAGTTTTTGTATGTAATCGGTAATTTTTAAATAACATTTAATACAGTTTTAATGACAAGGTACTCAACATAACTGGATATATATATCTATAGGTTTATAACAGTTATATCTAATATATGTAATGTTATTTCATTATGATTTTAACTGTGTGAAAAAAACCATAAAATATTTTGAAATGTATGTTATGCAATTTGAGAGTAAAAAATATATTTCAAGACACAGTAACATTGTATTGTAAAATTAGAAACAACTTAATAATACTAAGTAATATATTTTCTAGGCAGGGGACAAAATAGTTTGGTGGATTTGATTAACAATTAGCAAATATTGCTTGGCATCTTTTTATCTTCCATAAATTTTAACACATTACGGCAACTAGCTCCAGCACTAAAAGTCTCAACTATTTGTAAAGACATCCACTAATGAAAAATACGTAAATGGTATGTTTTTATTCTAATAACACTTTTATTCAGCTAAAAACCCTAATATTTAATTGTACCATAGATGGCATTTCATGAACAAAATAGTTCTTGGTATATATACAGTAAAACTTAAACAGCAAGAAAAACCAAACAAATCAGCTGTCACAATATAATGTAACAAATGTTTAACCCGAGAAAGAAATGACCTGAAGATATTGTAACTGAACAAGGTTGCCATCAGCTGTCACAATATAATGTAACAAATGTTTAACCCGAGAAAGAAATGACCTGAAGATATTGTAACTGAATAAGGTTGCCATCAGCTGTCACAATATAATGTAACAAATGTTTAACCCGAGAAAGAAATGACCTGAAGATATTGTAACTGAACAAATGGTTGCCATCAGCTGTCACAATATAATGTAACAAATGTTTAACCCAAGAAAGAAATGACCTGAAGATATTGTAACTGAACAAGGTTGCCACAAATCGCTTTTCAAATTACCGTATTTTTCGGTGTATCAGACGCACTTTTTTATACCCAAATTTGATGTCAAAATCTACTTGCGTCCTATACACCGAAGGTATGAATAATATATATGTATATATACGATATACACAAGCCATGTATATGGCATGCATAGTTTAGTTCAATTGAATGTGTTATTTATAAAAATAGTAGTTTTTTCTTTTAAAACATAACTATTTATAATGTTTCC